GTATGCTCACCCCTCCCACCCATCAAACATCATGTTGTGCATCACACATTTCTACAACTATTCCACATAGTTCAAGTCCACTGTGTGAAGCATATGCAAGGGACTAGAGTGTACATGAAAATTACATTTAGAAGGGAAATTGCAGCCACCTGCCGCCGTTCTGTCAGTCGATTAGGACTTGGTCCCCATTCTAAATTTTTTGGCAAACTAGCCCCCAAACTTGTATTATTGTAAGGACATGTGTACCAAGAAATTAGAATTGAGACTTAAGTGTCCATCAACCCATAGAATGAGACTCGCGACTCTTTTCCCCATTAACAATTGAGGATAAGAAATTACCAAAACACCGGCAGCCATATCCCATGGTTTAAGACGATACTCCCAGTAGGCTTCAACAATTCCCAGAGCTACATGGCACATGTCCACTGCAGCAGCACCAAGCCTTCTCACACCCTACGCATACACATGACAAAGGAGAAAGACAGGAAGTGAAAGTTCATCACAGAAAGTCCTTTTATCCAGTATTGATGAACATAAACCATAAAACATCTGTAAATTTACAAAAAATTAAATAAACCATAAAGAAATGAGAAAAAAAAAAAAAAGATTACCTGATGAATGTTAGTGACTTCCTTGAATAATTCTATATGGGTAGCCCATGCATCATCAAATAAACCTTAAAGAAATCGGGTAACAAAAAAAAAAAAAAAAAATTACCCGACTGATGTCAGTGAATTCCTTGAATAACTCCATATTGGTAGCCCATGCATCATCATGTCCATACCCAAACCCAGTAACCAGAAGCGATCGTTCCACCTAATGGATATACAACAAATGAAAAGAAAAAAAATAAAAATCTCCAACACTACCCCAATAAATGGAAAGATGGTTTTGAAGATCAAGTTGCATGGATACAGACACAACATGACATGGACATGACAACTAGTGAATTTCTAAAAAGTAAGAAGCTGACATGCCATTTAAATTCTTTAATATTTCATATTTACATATTATCATGATTTTTATAATTTTTAATATTGGACACGACGCATGCCATATTGAACACTTGCAAGAGGAATCTCCCTAAAGCACTCCCAGAGCCTCAAAATATATATTAATAATAGAACACAATATATGGCTTGTCAGACCAATGATACTCGGATTTAGGTGCAAGTATCTCATTATCTAGTAGGGGTACGTATCTAAGTGTCAAATCTTTTATTTTCTAATAAAATGTAGGGTACAAAGACATGACTAAAACGAGTCCAAATTTCGAACATGAATACATGAGCAAGTCTTTCAAATTTCAATTTTTTCCCCAGAAATAAGTTCAGCACTCAATGAATTAGGCCTAATCCAGTAAACCCCAACTCAACAGCTCAAACTGAAAATTAACCCCTTTTCCATTCACTCACATCCACTGGAGCTTCTTCATCTTCTCAATTGGACTTTGTCTATCTGACCAATCTTCTAGCAGACATGGTATTATTACTCATCGCTGTTCAGTTAATACAATTTTACAGGAAATGGAAATTAATCTCTAATTTTTTTCTCTTCCCTCTTATGGGAGACATACGCACAGCCTCTCAACCATCTCTCTCGTCACCCGAACCTCCAGACCCACCCATCTCTGGCGGCAAAACAGTGACGCAGGCCCCTCACCCACCCTTGTATGGCCTCGCGCCGATGCTACCGCGGTTCCAAAATCCACCAGCCGGATTATTTTGGCCGTGTCCACTTATAAATTTAAGGATCCACACCATATTTCATACCCATACCCATGTCGAATAGTGTCAACATGGGTACGCCACCAGCTGGAATGCCATGTCCGAGCATCACAGTGCCAGACCCATGTCATGAAGTGTCCGAGAAATGTAGATGCCCGACCGACATGATATGTGTTTGACACAGAGATGCTGTCTTAATAGAAGTGTCTGTACACTCATCACGCTATCGTGATCGATAGTGTATTACACACACACACATAACAAAATTCAGAAAGCATGTCCATTCTTTCCATTGTTACTAGTATTATTTGCAAAGAAACTGCTGTGCAGCACATCATCTCTCAACCTCGCCATTATTACACACTCCAAAATGACAATTCATGTATAAACGAAGCACTAATATTTAAGAACCAAGTGATAATAAGAGTTAAGGAGTAAAAATATCCACTCAAAATAAGCCATTCTATAATCATATTACATGATGACTCACCTTATCAGTTGGACTCACGTGAATCTTTTCACCATTACAAGTGGCACCTTTGCCTGGAATATTATGAAGTGATATATCTTAAAGAACACAGCTAAATAACAATTACAGGAGTCCTGAGAATAGAGGCCTCCTACCTGCAGCTGCAGAAAAAGTGCGAGTATTCCAACACTTATGTCCACCGACAAACTCTACCTACAGACGCACGAGACATTGTCATCCTCATGTTCATGGTAAAGAAACACACCTAAGAAAAAATGTCAAGATGACAATATTGTCCCTACAATGCTCTCAAAAATGAAGTCGTGTTCGAGCATAAGTTTATTACGATGACTTTTTTAATCTCCTACTTGCAATTTTTTTAGAGTAGAAAAAATTAATATCACTTGCATTCTCATAAGAGAAACACTGGAGAGAGACGTTTACTGAGGCTAATAACAAATGGCTAGAGACTAGAAACATGAAATTCTGAAAAGGTCACCCTTTTAATGATTTATCAGTTACCACTGTAGCAGCAGCTGGTTTTCCTCTGAAAAGCACACCCACGGAGACAGCAAAGCTAGGATAACAATGTGCAAAGTTTGTGGTCCCATCTGCATCGAAGTAAATAAGGAAACCATGCTCAAAACCGTACAGATCAAGAAGCAACTGTTGCAAAGTAAAGAAACATGCAGACAACCACAATTCATGTGTATATATGCAGCTTGATAATGTAGGCAACAACATAGCACCAAAAATAGAGAAAATATTGAATCTTATAGCCCCTTATAGAACAAGCTATGTCTGATCCTATATAGGTAAAATGTAGCAGCCTTTTCGCCAATACAAGTTAACACCAACTACATAATTCATAAAGATTGGGTGATATGACAATAACTCCTGTGACTGCTAATCCTCTTCAGTCAAACAATTACTATTAGATCATCACTTTTAAATGCTATAGCCTGGTTCAACAAGATTCAGGTTAATGCCAATTGGAGGACAATTTATTGAGGACAATTTCTTGATGCCACGTTAAGCTCCTTTACAGAGACATGCACGGTTTCCAAGTATTTGAATTCTTAGTCAAAACAAGATAATTTTAATGAAAATATTTAGTGGGGTTACTACAAGCCATTACAGTTTTCTTAAGTAACGCTACTATTCAATTTCATTGTTCATTTAAAGCTCCACATCAAATTTCCTCCAGGACCTAAGAAATTAATAGATATATCATAGACATGGTCTCCAAGAGAAGCAAAAGGTTTTTTTGACCCAAACCTAAGGGATCAATGCACCAAAGATAGTCAGAAGATGAGTCCCCAATGATTCCTCCCTCCTCCCCGAGAATGAGGTGATCTTGGAAGTTCTTTCGGACGACATCCAGAATAGCAGACTCACTTATTCTATCTGTGCTGCAATAATTCAATATTGACAAAGAATACAAATAATCAATAAATAGTCACTGTGAAAACAGCAAGAAAGAATTAACAGAACCAAATTAATTGACTTCAAAACTGAGATCAATAAAGAAAAACTTAAAATATGTTTATATTGACGGAGAGCAATTTAAAGGTAGTGTCTCAATGGCAGTCTAAAAAAATGATGACAATGACAAGATTTTATGGATAATTACTCAGTCACCAGATCAGTTTGTCCTTCCTTATAGACAATATTTCGAGGCTTATTCACCGCATCCATCACAACCTGAAATGAAATAGAAAATTATAACGTGAAAGGAAATAAGGGTGTGCAAATATCAAAAAAGAAAAAAAAAATATCATGTGAAAAGTATATTGCATAAGATTATAAATAATAAAAACTTAAAAACCCATCTAAGAAGAATGCATAAATCAAAGCAATTACGTATTCTCATTTTCTAGCTATTTTGCAGCAGCAAAAAGGATAATGAAGTCTCTTCACATGAAAGGAAACTAGCTAATCCAGAGTAAATTCAAAGTATGAACATTACGTAACTAAACCCTAAAATTAAGAAAGTCGGAATTCAAATCCAAATTTTACATTCATTTAAGAGGCCTGTCCATTACCTTTTGTATCTGTATCACAGTCAAAAACAATTTAACCAAATATAAAATTGTTGTAAAACAATCAGCCTCTCTATTGGATAGGATGCATGCAGCAAAAGTTACAGCAGTGAATTGACTCCAAATTTTCATGCCCGAGATGATGCTGGTTCTTAATCAGTTGACTAGGGAGTAAGTTAGTTGTGATATATGTTCTTAGTTGGCTTCTTCATTTAAGAATAGACAAAATAGACAAGCGTACAACAATATCAACAGACATGTTCATATATATGTATTTTGTTGGGTGTTTCTCCATGAACAAAGGAATAGGTTTGTAGTGCCTCGTATTAAATGAATAAATAAATTGGGATGGCATGCAACATATACATGGGGCTCAAAACCCAATAGCTTAAACTTTCAGGAGAAGTTGGATTCTATGTATCAGTAAGATGATCGGGGTCGACTTTCCTTTGAAACGCCAGTCATATGATGCGTTAAAATTGGGCAAAAAGCACAACCTTCCAGGCTCTGTAGATATCCCTAGATAGATTGATAACATGATCACCTGCCAGAAAGCAACATTATTGGGCTATTTGTCAATAGACCAAGAAATGAAAGAATTTGTGTCCAAAGTACTAGGAGTCAAAGAACGAATAGGGCCTTGTGTAAATACTACAAGAACCATAAATCGTAATCCTTAACAACCACATTTGCCAAGTAGAAGCCGTGGTTTCATGATTACATCAGTACAGTACAAGCACCTATGGTTGCTGAAGGCACAATTACATTTGGTGAACTTCTTTGAATAATTAAAGCTAATGTGCTCCACGTATATACAAGCACCTATGGTCGTGGACCATGCAATCTGATAAACCTCCCATCCGATTCACCTATTCTAGAAGAGGCAGGAAGCTTGGAGATCCATCTGGAAGAAGTTAAGGGGCACCTGATAGTTTGTTACGTGAAATTGAAGTCTGTTGGGGGGAGGATTTGGGAGGGAAAATCTGTTAATCAGCAACTATAAATAAACGTAGAGAGTCAGCACAATAGCAGGCAATTTGAGAGTAGTAGAAGTTGGTAGAGATAGCAGAGTTCCTTGATTAGGCTCTGTTATGTTTCTCTTTACTGTAATTCGTTCTTCATTACAATAAAAGTATCGTTCCTAAACTCAATTTTGTTCGTTCATTTATTGGGTTCGTAACAAAGTGGTATTAGAGCTCATCGAGTCCTGATGGCCCAGAAAAAGACAAATAGCAAAGTGGAAGCCATTGAGAGAGAGGTGGAAGAAATGAAATCGGAGTTGCATCTTCTAGGCGGTTTGGAAAAGTCAATGGAACAACTTTCACAGAGCATGGCCAAGATACTATAGACTGTGGAAGAAAAGCAGAAAACCATGACTACTTTGAATCTTCCTAAGACGGCCAGGGGCAAACGGTTGGAAGAAGATGGAACGGGAAGTACTATTGAAAAGGGATTACCCACTAGCACCTCCCAAGACCCATGTTGGATTGCAAGGCACAAGACAGGGGAAGATGGCCGGAAGGGTTGGAGGAGGCCAGTATAGAAGGAACAACGGCCACCGCCGATCAAAGTTTGACGGGAAGAGATTGGCGGCATGTGTACAAGCTTGAATGCCTATTTTCAGCGGAGATGACCCAGACGGGTGGTGTACTGGGCAGAAAGGTACTTCGAGATTAATGGCAAGACAGAGAAGGAGAAGCTGGCGTCAGTTGGGGTTAGACTCAATGGTAGCGCCCTTTCATGCCTACAGTGGACGAAGGCTAGAGACCCATTTAGAACCTGGGAATCATTCCGGCAGAAGCTCCTACTGAGATTCAGACCAACACAGGAGGGTAGCTTATGCGAAAAACTTTTGGCCATCCGACAAGAAAGATCCGTTGAGGAGTATCGGAGAATGTTCCAAGCCTTGGCAGCTCCATTGGTCGATCTTCTTGAAGAGGTTTTGGCGAGTACATATATTAATGGGCTCAAACCAACTATAAAGGCCGAAGTTAGGTTGCATCAACCGATTGGGCTGGGCCGCATCATGGAAATGGCCCAAACGGTGGAAGAAAGGAACCAAGTAATGAAAATCCTTATTAATCCTCAAAGCCCAAAAATGGTAAGGTCGATTTCAACTGTACATCTAGGAAAGACATAGGCGGTGAACCCTTCCCAATCATATCAATGACTGTGGGAGAGAAAGCACCGGTCCCACGCAGGGAAACTCCAATTCGGAGGTTGACTGATGCAGAGCGGCAAGCAAGAAGGGAAAAGGGGCTCTATTTTCATTGTGACGAAAGGTTCACAGTCGGGCACAAGTGTAAAAATAGGGAGCTGAAGGTACTGTTGTTGTAAGAGGAAGAAGCTGAACATGAGAAAGGCGAAGAGTTGCCAGCGGCCAGCGACCCACTGGAAGTAGCAGAAACAGTAGAAGTGTCGCTAAATTCAATGGTAAGGCTTTCCACTCCAGGTAATATGAACATGAGTGATAGGAAGGAAGGAAGTGGTGGTGCTGGTGGATTGTGGGGGCAACACATAACTTCATATCAGTAGAATTGATTAAGCAGCTTGGGATACCAACTGTGGCGACAACAAACTATGGAGTCGTTATGGGGATTGGAGTGTCGACCAAGGGAAAGGGGATTTGTAAGGGTTCAAAATAGAGATACAGGGGCTGAAAATAGTGGAAGACTTTTTGACACTAGAATTGGGTAATACCGATGTCATTTTAAGAATGCAGTGGTTGTGTAGCTTAGGCGACATGGAAGTAAATTGGAAACTCCTCAAGATAAGTTTTCAATTAGGAGGAGAGGTTACATTAAAAGGGAATCACAGGCGCAATCATATAGAAGTATCCCTCAAAACTATGGTAAAAGCCTTGTAGCAAGAGGGTCAAGGGGTGTGGGTGGAGTTAAGAAGTCTAGGGGCCGAAGTTGGGAAAGCTGAAAATAAGCCACTACCTATAGAAGTGCAGCAAGTACTACAAAAATACCCCTCAGTTTTTGACATGCCTAGGTCACTGCCGTCAACCAGAGAAATTGATCATGCCATCCGATAAGAATTGATCGGATTAGTGTGAGGCCATACAGATACCCCCACTTCTAGAAAAATGAAATTGAGCATTTGGTCCGAGACATGTTGGATGCAAGGATCATACGACCTAGTACGAGCCCTTTCTCGAGTCCTGTGCTCCTAGTGAAAAAGGACAGGGGCTGGAGGTTCTATATTGATTACTGATCATTGAACAAATCAATGATTTCGAATAAATTCCCGATTTCGGTCATTGATAAATTGCTAGATGAACTTCATGGGGCAACATATTTTCCAAGCTGGACCGTAAGTCGGGATACCACCAAATTCGAGTAAGAAAGGAAGATGTGCCTAAGACTACCTTCAGGACGCATGAAGGATATTATGAATTCTTGGTGATACCCTTCGAGCTAACAAATGCCCCTGCCACTTTCCAGTCCCTAATGAATTAGGTATTCCCCGAGTCGGGATACCACCAAATTCAAGTAAGAAAGGAAGATGTGCCTAAGACTACCTTCAGGACTCATGAAGGATATTATGAATTCTTGATGATGCCCTTTGGGCTAACAAATGCCCCTGCCGCTTTCCAGTCCCTAATGAATTAGGTATTCCGCGAGTACTTAAGAAAGTTCGTATTAGTATCTTTTGATGACATATTGGTGTAGAGCAAGGATATGGCGACACATGTCCATCGCTTGGAAAAGGTCTTCAAGATTTTAGCTTCCCATCAGCTCTATGCTAATGCGAAAAAAGTCAGTTTCCCCAGCCCCAAATTGAATACTTGGGTCACCTGGTCTTAGCAACAAGGGTGACCACAGACCCGGACAAGATTTTAGCTATAACAAATTGGCCAACACCCTGAAACATCAGGGAATTGCGTGGATTCCTAAGGTTGACTGGGTATTATCGCCGCTTTGTAGCAGGGTATGGTGAAATCTCTTGGTCCCTTACACAAAAGCTTAAGAAAGATGCTTTTGGATGGACGGTAGAGGCTGAGGCAGCTTTCCGGTGGCTAAAAAGGGCCATGTCTTCAGTGCCTATGTTTGCCCTTCCTGATTTCTCCAAACGCTTCGTTATTGAGGCAAACGCGTCTGGGTATGGCGTGGGGGGCAATCCTAATGCAAAACCAGCAGCCCAGAGCTTATTTCAACCAGGTCTTATCCACTAAATCACGCCTCAAGTTTGTGTACGAAAGAGAATTAATGGCAGTCGTCTTAGCTGTCCAAAGGTTGTGACATTACGTGTTGGGATGTCATTTCATCGTGAGAACAGACCAGCGAAGCTTAAAATACTTACTGGAACAGAGGGTAGTTTCAAGGAGAGTTCCAAAAGTGGTTGACTAAGCTCATGGGTTTTGAGTTTGAGATTCGATATCATCCCGGTATAGAGAATAAGGCTGCGGATGCATGGTCACAAATAGCTCCTCCAGTTGAATTGTCGGTCATCACAACTCCAACCATGCTGGACATCCCTAAAACAGGTTGCCGCTGATCCTCAGCTGTCTAAAATAAAGGACTTAACAAAGGACTCAGCCACACACTCCTATTCTTCCCTAGACCAAGGGAGACTGTTGCACAAGGGATGACTAGTGCTATCGGGTTCTTCTCTCCTGATTCCTAAGCTCCTTAAGGAAGTTCCATAGCAGCACTTTGGAGGGCATTCAAGGCTCCTTCGAACTTACAAGCATCTCGCCGAGGATCTATACCGATTAGGGATGAAGAAGGACGTGAAGAAGTTTGTTGAAGAATGTCCAGCATGCTAGAAGAATAAAAGTCTCGCACTTTCTCCTGCAGGTTTGATGCAGCCTCTTCCTATTCCACAATTGATATGGGAGGATATTTCGATGGACTTCATTGGGGGACTTTCAAAATCCGGAGGCTATAATTCAATTTTGGTGGTGGTTGACTGGCTAAGCAAATATGCCCATTTCTTAGGCCTCAAACACCCCTTTTACATCAGTAGGTGTGGCTGGAGTATTTATCCGAGAGGTCGTAAAACTTCACGACATTCCCTAGTCAATTGTCCCAGACCATGACAAGGTTTTTCTCGGTCATTTTTTTGAGGGAGCTTTTTTAGCTACGGGAACTGTCCGTAAAAGCAATGCCTACCATCCTCAAACTGATGGACAAACTAAAGAAGATACACACGTGAGAGGAAATTCTCACTTTTTTTGTATTCACAATATTGATTATAATCGATTTATATACATGAGGTGAAGGAAGAAAAAAGGAAACTAATCTTCTAAATTTGGAAGTAAATTGTTCTACCAAAAAATACGAGATTGCAATCTCTAATTAATTCTAATTACCATAACTACCTCCTTTACTATATTCGGTCCTTTCTACACTCCCCCTCAAGTTGAACTGTAGATGTTGATCATGTTCAACTTGCTGATAAAGTCGTGGAATGCTTGTCTGGGCAATCCTTTTGTGAATACATCGGCCGTTTGTTCTTTTGTAGGAGTATATGTCATACAAATAATCCCGTTGTCGACCTTTTCTTTGATGAAATGTCTGTCAACTTCTATATGTTTAGTTCTATCATGTTGTACTGGGTTGAGCGAAATGTTAATAGCTGCTTTGTTATCACAATAGAGTTTAATTGGAAGTTCTACTTCAACTTTCAATTCTCCCAAGAGCTTCTTTATCCAAAGTCCTTCACATATTCCTTGTGCAACAGCTCTGAATTCAGCCTCAGCACTGCTTCTAGCTACCACATTTTGTTTCTTACTTCTCCAGGTTGTCGTATTTCCCCATACAAAGGTGCAGTAGCCGGTAGTAGACCTTCTATCTTCCGTTGATCCAGCCCAATCTGCATATGTGAATATTTCTACTCCTTTACTCTTATTTTTCCCGAAGAATAGACCTCTTCCAGATGTTCCCTTTAGGTATCTAAGAATTTTATAAACTGCTTCTAGACGAATTTCTTTGGGAGCCTGCATATGTTGACTGACCACACTGACTGCGAAAGCAATATCAGGTCTAGTGTGTGAGAGGTAGATCAATTTTCCAACTAGTCTTTGATATTTGTCCATTTCCACGGGTTTTCCGGTGTCCTTTATCACTTTCCCCGCCTCAATAGGTGTATCGCTTGGTTTGCACCCCAACATACCTGTTTCAGCCAACAGGTCAAGAATGTATTTTCGTTGGGAAACGCTGATACCTTTCTTTGATCTTGCAATCTCCATTCCCAAGAAGTATCGCATTTGCCCAAGGTCTTTTACCTCAAATTCAGTTGCTAGGCACTTCTTTAGTCTTTCCATTTCACCTATGTTGTCCCCTGTCAAGATAATATCATCCACATACACAATAAGGATGGTCTTTACTCCTCTGGATAGATGATAGAACATGGTATGGTCTGACTGCCCTTGTTGATATCCTTGAGTTTTCAATACCTTTGCAAATCTATCGAACCATGCTCTGGGTGACTGTTTAAGCCCATATAAAGATTTCCTGAGCTTACATACTCGACTTTCCTCATTTGAATTGTTGAAGCCCGATGGTATTGTCATGAATACTTCTTCTTCTAGTTCCCCATTGAGAAATGCGTTTTTAATGTCCAACTGTTGAAGTGGCCAATCTAGGTTTACTGCTAATGACAGAAGAACTCGGATTGTATTTAATTTAGCCACTGGTGCGAATGTTTCTGTATAGTCAATGCCATAGGTTTGAGTATACCCTTTGGCAACTAAACGAGCTTTGTAGCGTTCAATCGTCCCATCTGCCTTGTACTTCACGTTAAAAACCTATTTGCACCCTACAGGTTTCTTTCCTTTTGGCAGGTTTACCACTTCCTAAGTTTCATTTTTCTTTAAGGCTTTCATTTCCTCCATCACTGCCTCTCTCCATTTGGGTGATTCCAAGGCTTCTTGAATATTTTTTGGAATTTCTGTTTCATCAAGATTAGCAGTAAAAGCACGAAATTCAGTAGATAGAGCATTATAAGACATGAATTTTGAGATAGGATGTAGAGTACATGATCGGGTTTGTTTTCTGAGAGCAATAGGTAGATCATCACTTGGATCGAGGGGATTTTCATCAGTTCCTCTCACCGGTTCGAACTCTTTTGGTGCTTCAGGCATGAGAGGTTCCTTACACTTCGATTTAGGCCTTGTTGAGTAAACTAGGGTCTCTTTATCACTCTCTGTTTTCCTTCATCTCTCCCTGAATTCAAGTTATCTTCTGTGTATGACACCTTAGAAGGGTTAGGGAACGTGAAATCAGTTGGGGAAAGTTATCTTCTGTGTATGACACCTTAGAAGGGTTAGGGAACGTGAAATCAGTTGGGGAAAGGTCAAAGTCCAGGAACTCGTTATTTGAGAACTGATCTTCACTCAAGTTCTCCCCCTGAAGAGAAGGTTTCAGGAAGTAAGGTGTGTTTTCGAAAAAACTGACATCAAGGCTAACTATGACTCTTTTCCCAGATGAGTCATAGCATTTGTACCCTTTTTGAGTAGGTGAGTACCCAATAAACACACATTTGATAGCACGTGGTTCAAGTTTGTTTCAATTTTGAGAGTGAATATGTACAAATGCAGTGCTGCCAAATATTTTTAGAGGTAGGTTTGAACTAAGGCAGGAAGTAGGGAAGTATTTTTGGAGCCTTTGTAAGGGTGAGTCGAAGGAGAGCGTCCTACTAGGCAACCGGTTAATTAGGTAAGTAGATGTTAAAATGGAATCCCCCCAGAATGTTTTTGGCATGTTCATAGTAAACATTAAGGCACGATCAACTTCTAGTATGTGTCTATTTTTCCGTTCAGCAATCCTATTTTGTTGGGGGGTATGGACGCATGAGCTTTGATGGACAATTCCGTGTTTTTTTAGGTAATCTTGCAAAGTAGCATTGAAATATTCCGTGCCATTATCGGTACGGAGGATTTGAAGTTGTGTTTGAAATTGTGTCAATATCATGGAGTGGAAGTTCATAAAGACAGATCTAACATCAGTTTTGTCTTTCAATAAATAAACCCAACAGACTCGAGTGTGGTCATCAATAAATGTAATAAACCATTTTGTTTGGGTACGATTAGGAGTGCGGGATGGTCCCCATAGATTACTATGAATCATAGCAAATGGTTTAGATGGTTTGTACTCATGTTTTGGAAAAAATGTACGCTGATGCTTTGCAAATTCACAATTTTCACATTGAAAGTCAATAGATATTTTATTCATGAAAATTGAAGGACAAATATGTTTTAAATATTGCAAGCTAGGATGACCCATTCTATTGTGCCATAACAAAATTTCACTATCCTTAGAGGTAGATGAAGAATTACAACTTGAAATTTGACCTAGTGTACTCACGTCAGCTTCGTCGAAGTAGTAAAGTCCCTCGCATTCCTTAGCACTGCCAATCGTCTTCCCCGATGAAAGGTCTGAAAGACACAATATGATGGAAAGAAATTAACAGAACAATTGGATTTTTTTGCTAATTGACTAACAGATAACAAGTTACATGACAAATTTGGGACATAAAGGACTGAATCCAATGTTAGGGAATTAGATATTCGAATGTTCCCTTTTCCTGCAACAGATGAAAGTGAGTCATCTGCAATTTTAATTCGAATGTTACCAGGACAAGTAGAATATGAAGAGAATAGGTAATACGAGTCCGTCATGTGACCGGATGCACCGGAGTCAATGATCCAAGCATTTTTGTATCGTAAAGTATTTAATGCTCTAAGAAAAGTACCTTTGTGGGCTAGTAAGCTAGAAGGACCTTTAGGGGAAGACTGATCGGATGTTTGAAATTTTGAGAATATTTAATAGAGTTGCTCAGTTGCTCGGGATTAAATGCACTACCTGAGACCGGATTGTTTTTTGTTTCAACTTGATAACCCCGACTCCTCATGGTTTGTCTTGATTTCCATTCGTTGGGTTTCCCATTAATTTCCCAACATGTGTCTATTTTATGGCCCGGCCTACGACAATGCTCACACCAAGGACGACCCCTTTGTTTTTGGGTCGACCCATTTGTAGATCCCTTTGAAAAACTCGAAATTCCACCTCCAATTGAAGGTCCATTAATATGCTCAGTTTCTGGCCCAACTGCCGGCCCAATTAATTTCCCACGTCCAGGCCCAGACGTTATACCATACGGAGGTCCAGCCTTCTTCCCAGCCAAGGCCGATACTTCACCAGAGGCCTCCTTCAACATTACCTGCCGGCGAGCCTCCTCACGGCGCACCTCCGAAAACACCTCGCGAGTGGACGGCAGTGGACGACGACCTAGGATTCGGCCTCTGACTTCATCCAGTTCTCGATTCAGACCTGCAAGAAATTCATAGACTCGTTCGTTTTCCTGCTTCTTTTTGTATAACGCGATATCATCAGGGCACTTCCACTCCTCTTCACTGCTTAGGTCGAGATCTTGCCAGAGAGATGTCATGTCCATGAAGTATTCAGTGACATCTCTCGTCCCTTGTTTAGTCTGCCATAAGCGAGTTTTTAATTCAAAAATTTGCAATGCATTACCGGCGTCCGAGTAGGTGTCTTTCACGGCGTCCCATACGTCTTTTGCCATCGCAAGGAATAGGTAGGCTTTTCCTATAGAAGGTTTCATAGAGTTCACAAGCTAGGCTGTTACCATGGAATTTTCAGAGTTCCAACGTTGCAGCAGGGTGGTGTTTGTCGGCCTCTTCGCTTCTCCAGTAAGATAACCCATCTTCCCCTTTCCATCAATTACTAATTTTATCGATTGGGCCCATTCGCGGTAGTTTTTTCCATTCAATTTTTCGACAGTAAGTTGGAACGATGAATTCTCGAATGAGTTGTGACCAATTGAGGAATTGACCTCTGTTTCGGTATCTGACATTGTAGATGCCTGCATGTTAGCGGGGAATTCCGCCATGGTTTGCTAGGTTAGAGAACCAGCTCTGATACCATAAAGAAGATACACACGTGAGAGGAAATTCTCACTTTTTTTGTATTCACAATATTGATTACAATCGATTTATATACATGAGGTGAAGGAAGAAAAAAGGAAACTAATCTTCTAAATTTGGAAGTAAATTGTTCTACCAAAAAATACAAGATTGCAATCTCTAATTAATTCTAATTACCATAACTACCCCCTTTACTATATTCGGTCCTTTCTACACAAACGAAGGTAGTGAACTGTTGCGTCGAAACTTACTTAAGGTGTTTTACCTATGACAAACCTCGTAGTTGGTACACATGGTTGTCTTGGGCAGAATATTGGTATAACACCACTTTTCATGTTTCAAACAACACCACTCCTTTTTTGGTTGTCTATGGTCACAATCCCCGCCACTCATACGTTATGGTAATCAGCCTACATCAATCTCAAAAGTAGAGCAACAGCTGTCCGATAGGGATGAAATTCTGACTGAATTGAAATCACACCTCGAGCGGGCTCAGAATTAGATGAAGAATTCAGCTGATCTACACTGACGAGAGGTTATTCTCAAGTTAGGAGATCTTGTCTATGTGAAACTACGTCCTTACCGACTCTGTTCTTTGGCTAAGAAACCTAATGAAAAACTAAGTCCGCTCTACTTTGGTCTCTTCAGAATCTTGGAATGCATAGGGCTTGTGGCTTGTCGCCTGGACCTTCCATCCACAGCTACAATTCATCCGATGTTCCATGTGTCATAGCTTAAAAAGGCCCTGGGACCTACTGAGACATGCCAACAGTTACCTTCGCATCTTGATAGTAACTTGACTTGGAATGTGGAACCAAAAAAGGTACTTGAGGTGCGACCAGCGCTTGCAGGCCATCGCTTAGGATTCGAAGTCTTAATTCAATAGAAAGGGCTACCTGACTTCGAAGCTTCCTGGGATCCGCAGCTTCTATTCCCCAACACTTTCCCGACTTCCACCTTGAGGACAAGGTGTCTTTGGAACCCAGGGGTATTGATAAACATCCCATCTGATTCTAGAAGAGGCAAGAAGCTTGGAGATCCATATGAAAGTAGTTAAGGGGAACCTGATAGTTTGTTACGTGAAATTGAAGCCTGTTAGGGGGAGTATTTGGGAGGGAAAATCTGTTAAGCAGCAACTATAAATAAACGTAGAGAGTAGGCACAATAGCAGGGAATTTGAGAGTAGGAGAAGTTGGCAGGGCTAGCAGAGTTCCTTGATTAGGCTCTGTTATTTTTCTCTTTACTGTAATTTGTTCTTCATTACAATAAAAGTATCATTCCTTAACTCAATTTTGTTCATCCATCTATTGGGTTCGTAACACAATCATGTAGCCAAAGCAAGGGTACTACCTTTGATACAAGGGTACTACCTTTGATAGATATGGCGCCACCACCGACGTCCTACCATGTGTTCATGAGTTCCTTGCAGAATCAAGGAAAACCTATATTAAGCTCCACCAAACACACGGTGTTGGCGTGCTTGTGCCTAATGACTTCAATTTGCATTGAACAGGAAAACTACAAATCAAATACTAGACCCTGCAGCATATACTACGATTAAGTTTTTGCACTTAAAATTCCAAAGAGATCAAAGATATCATAGCTCTGAACCACTATTAATCAAAACATTTTTTAAACTTAAGCAAGATACTCATTCTGTTTCAACAAATACCACTCTCATTGTTCCTTTCACTAGTTATAGTTTAAGGTGGTCCATTGCAGATGCATCTAGATTGCTCAGAGCCTCAGACAGCTCGAAAAGAAAAATACCCGGATACAATGAACACCAATTATGGTTATGACCAAAAATTCTTAAGTGACTTACTCCAATAAGCGAAATACTCTAATCTTAGGATAAGCTGAAAACCTGAGCACCAGTCTCGGCGGCGGTTGCAGCCACCTGAAGAAGCTGCTCCGAAGGGATGGGCCCTGTGGATTCTGCACCAACTTTAGAGAATGGACTCTGATTGGGAACCTCTGATAAAACAGCCTTTGTGCACAGTGTTCTAGAGGCTCTAAAGGTAAAGGGCAGCGTCCTACAAAACCCAGAGTTAGAACCGATACAAGGCCGTGAACTTGCATTGGAACTCATTGGAAGTGAGACTTTTGGGTGCTTATAAGCAATAACAAAGGGGGATTTTTTAGAATATCTTAAGGGAGCCACGGTTGATGATGAGACTGTTAACCACCTTCCCATTTCGGAGAGATTGGGTTTTCTATGTGCTGTCTGGTCGGAGAGAAGGGCTTGGACTGGATGTATTACTGTCGGAATTCACAATGAAAAAAAAAAATTGCCAAAAAATATCCTGTCCATCGCATTATGTATATATTTTAGGAATTATTGCACATAATAATGTCCATAATGTGATATGAAAATTATTCAATTATTGATGTGCAAGTGTAAAATTTGAATTAAATATCGGATCCAGTGCCACGTGTAATTATGGACATCACTAAGTAAACAATTATGTACATATAGCACTTCCCTATATTTTAACAGCATTATGTGAAAACTTATTCTATGGATCAAGCATATCAAGCATGGTTAATCTGTCCTCCATTATGCAGTAATTTGTTTTCCCTTGAAAACGTGGACAAACTCCAGAATACTGCACTGAAAGAACTGGAGAGGAATGGTAATTTGCACTAAATTAAGGAAAAATAGTAGCAGAAGTCCTAACCTATTGGCATTCTTTCATTTTTGTGTCAAAACTTCTAAAAAACAATTTACCACCCACAGTTAACTTTTGTGACGCCCGTGACTGCAGTTAACAATTTTGTACAAAGAGAACTCAATAGTTCATACAAATATATATTGTTCTTTTGAACCAAGTAAGCTCTAATACTATATAAAGGATTTAAGTTTTATCTTAAACGACCTATTAGTCCTATATTCGAGTAGACGCACGCATGACAAGATGGGGTCACAATTATTCATTTGGCTTTGATTTTTTTACTTATATCATTTGTGTTGTCAATTTAATTAGTGGGATCGAATCAGATTATGTTAAAGGTCCCAAACAATCTTTTCATAGCCTTGGTCCTAGTTTGAATTTTAGCCCTTGTTTGAGCCACGTTTTTTGAAAAAAAAATGTACTATTAAACAATGTTTTGATATCATTTTAATCACACATTTTTTAATAAAATAATATTATATGTAAATTCAAAATATTTTCTTACTTTTTAATCACACATTTTTCATTAATACACTATTTAAAATGCATTTTTATGACAAAAATGGGACTTAAACAAGAGCTTAGAATTGGCCATGATAACATATTAATAAGGGGTAATTGTAGTAATGTTTCAAATCTTTGAATTTTTAGCAACCTTTACCTTAACAATTAGTTTGTATCACCAACCATTCCAAACTTTCAAAAACTTCACACCTAAAGGACAAACTCACAAAAATCGTTAATTATATCGTTAGTTGACCAACAATCAACGATCTAGTCAATTTTTGACTAATTTAAAATGATAAGTGGATAATTTTACATTTTTTAATATTAAATAATTTAAAAATAATAAAAAAGGAATTTGTAAAAGGATCGTCATCTTCTAAACAACTATCCAACTCACCCCAACGTAAAATCCACCCCACCTCCCACCATGTCGGCGCTACGATCCCCATCCACCCTACCACATGGTCGCCACTACAATTACCACAACCCCACCGTAAGCACCAGCATGCTGTGAAGACGATGAACCCAAAAACAATAGATATGGTGGATTTTAAAAATCGACGAACACCCTTCTTCAATGTAATCATGATATGTACACGTTTGCATGGATCGCAGGAAGACCCAATCCACGCTAATGAATAACAGAAGCCATGAAATGTGTTGAACGTGTTTTAACCATGTAGTGGTTGCTTAAAAATAGCTAATGTGATTATTTATTGTTTCTTGTTATTCTTTGATTCTGGATTAGTTCGTTGGATTACTCGCTTATCAAGTTGTAATCGATCTATAATTAGCCATTAGAAGTTAATAAAAGAGGACAACAATTACGGCAACTATTTATTCTCTTTACTTCTCATCTATTTCCTTCCCTACTCTTCATCCTGCATAAAAAATCCGCCTATCATTGGTATCAGAGCAAGGTTTTGGTTAACTATGGCTACTCGAAATCATCCAATGTTGAGTACTGAAATGAAGTTCATGAAGTATTGTGATGCCATGAATCTAATATTGATGAAGTTCGCACTACGCTACAAACGATTTTGCAAGAACTACAATCCCTGCGAGCATCACAAATTCCTCATGTGAATAACCCAGACATAAACTCGTTCGCCCCAACCGAATCATCCAATCAATTTAATCGACCTTTATCCAGTCACTCTCAACTATCATCACACCATAACAATCATCATCTTAAACCCACCTTCCCAAAATTTGATGGAGAAACCCAACTGGATGGGTCTACGAAGCTGAACAGTACTTCGATTTCAATGAAGTCACTCTTGATCAACAGATCTTACTTGCTTCCTTTCACCTCGAGGGAATTGCTCTCCAACGGCATCGATAGTGCTCCAAGTCTAAAGGACTAGTGACCTGGACAGATTTTCCAGGGCATTGTTACTCCATTTAGGACCAACGAATTATGAAGACCCCTCTAAAGTATTCACTCGACTCGAGCAAACAGTCACTATCACAACTTACCAAGAAGCTTTCTATAAATTATCCCACTGAGTAGACGATTTTTCGAAATCTTTGCTGGTTAGATGCTTCATAGCTGAATTACTAGACGAGATAAAACTCGACGTAAAAATTAAACACTCTCAGATGCTGCGTTGCTAAAAGAAATAAACTTTTTACAAAGAAAATCAGCCAACTTCTCTCATCCTTTTGTGCTCGGTTAACAACTAAAATTAATTAAGTTAGGGTTCTTGGTCCCCCACCTACACTCAAGGCAGGAACTGGTGCCAACAACAATGCCAATCCCTTCAAAAGAATCACAAGCCAGGAAGCCCAGGAGCGTAGGAAAAGTGGGCTATGATATTATTGTGATGAAAAATTCCTTCCCGGACATCGGTGTCAACAATCTCAACTATTCATGATGGAAGACGTAATGGACACTGGAGAGGACGTGCAAGATGTCGCGTAGCTACCATTAGTTATAAGGGATCTGCCCAAAATTTCTTTCCACGCTATCGCTGAAACAGAACAACTCTAGACCATACGACTCCAAAGTAGGTTAAAGGGTAGAGAGGTCATGAGCTTAATTTATGGGGGAGTACACATAACCTTATGGATCAATCATTGGTAATAAAGTGTGACTTACTAGTAACTCGTCATAAGACATTCCAAGTCATGGTTGCCAATAGGGAAAAAATCGATTGTACACGGAAATGTTTGGCCATACTCTTAGACCTTCAAGGATATCAAGTTAAGGTTGATTTTTACATCTTACAAATAGCATCATGTCAATTAGTTTTGGAAGTTCAATGGCTTGTGGCACTAGGAACGGTAGAAACAAATAACCAAAGCCTGACCATGACATTCCAAGATCTTAGAACCATTCACACCTTTCAAGGCTTAAAGCATGCAAGATTGGAGGCTCTCGGTGAGAAAGAATGACATTATATTACATCCATAGTTCTAGCATGCTCCTTCAATTGATATCCCTTTGTCCATCTAAAAACCAAAAAGGTCATTTCCCAGTTATTGCTAATATTCTCCAGAAATTTAAGCAAGTGTTTGAACCCGCTCTCAACTGCCACTAGCTCGTATCCATGATCACAAAATACCGCTTCAAGCTCATAGCCGTCCAATCAATGTTAGGCCCTACCATTGTCCATATTATCAAAAGGCCGAGATCAAGAAAATGATTCAAGAACTCTTATACTCGAGGCTAATCTGTCTCAATCGAAGCCCTTTTTTCAAGTATTGCTGGTAAAGGAGGCTGATGGAACTTGGCAATTTTGTGTTGAATATAGAGCTCTCAATGAAATCACCATATAGGATAAATATCCCATACCGGTTATCGATGAATTATATGGCTCTAGATATTTTGTAAAGCTTGACCTATGATCAGGATACCGTCAAATACGAGTTCATGAGAGTGGCATACCAAAGATCGCATTTTGCACATATGAAGAGCACTATGAATTTGTTGTCATGCCAGTAGGACCCACTATTGTGCCTGCAACATTCTAAAGTTTAATGAATGATCTTTTTCGTCCCTACCTCCATAAGTTTATTTTGGTCTTCTTTGATGATATATTGGTATATAGTAACTTAATGCAAGAACACATTTCTCATCTATACATTGTTTTAAGAATTTTGAAGTCTAATTGCCTTTTTACCAAAGAATCAAAATGTTGGTTTGGTGTTAGACAGGTAGACTACTTGGGACATATCATATCAGAAAAAAGGAGTTGTAGTCGACCCTGCTAAAATTCAAGCTAACATTGAATGACCGGTTCTTATAACTGCCAAAGGGGTGTACAGATTTTTTAGTCTAGCTGGATACTATCAAAAATTCATTAGTGGGTTTGGCGGGATAGCGGCTCCCTTAACTCATCTATTAGATAGAGATGGGTTCACCTGGAATTTTGAGATAGAAAATGCATTTTAAAAATTAAAAGAAGCTTTATCATCTCCTCATGTTCTCCGACTTCTTGATTTTTTCCAACAATTTGTAGTTGAATGTGATGCTTGTGGAATGGACATTGGAGCTATTTTATCTCAACAGGAATAGCCTATTGCCTTCTTTAGCGAGGCATTGAAGGGGTCAGCGCTAATTCTTTACCTATGAAAAAGAGATGCTCGCCATTGTAAAAGTCATTCCAAGTGGAGGCCTTATCTACTGAGTCGGTCTTTTGTTGTTAAAACTAATTAGAAAATCCTTAAATTTTTAATGGAACGACGTATCACTACTCCTGCTCAAGCGTGTTGGTTACCAAAGCTTCTTGGGTATGATTACATCATTGAGTACAAGCGGGATCAATAGAATAAAGGGGCAGATGCATTGTCACCCGTGGGAGAAGTCTACTTCTTAGCCATATCTCACATCCAAGCTGATTGGTAGAAGGACTTGCAACAAAAGGTACTTCAAGATTCATTCTATAATAAACTAGAGAAGGAGAGATTCAAACAAACTAAACAACTGTATATTAAACATGATAGGGGTGTGGTTTTGATAAGAGTGTAAAATATCATATTTTTCTCTTTTAATTATTACATTCATTTGATTATATCATGCCAAAATGCACTCATTACTCTTATGTTTTGGTTTAGGTTGCATTTTAGTGAAAACGGTGAAATTTGGAAGAAACAAATGAAAAAGGACCAAAGCGAGAAGAAGTGAAAGTTCAAGGACAAAGTTGCAAATAATTCATAGATGAGACGGGCTATGGAATGATGATTTGAGAAATTTACGAGTCCATTGGTGTAATTAGAAGTCAAAAGAAGTTAAATATGCCTATAATATTTTCACAAATCAAATTTCAACCAAATATAACGATTTTTCAGATTTTGAGCTAAAGATTGATATCAACGTTTGACCTAGTAAACGTCCGAATTTGGAAAGAGCTATTTCCATCAAGATTGTAATAATTTGAGTTAGCTTTCCAATGAAACTTGAATCACCTCAATCGGACGTCAAGAGAGGAAGTTATGATCAAAATACTGAAAGCAGTCGCACAGAAAATTCTTGTCGAAAATTTACTTTCCTTATTCGATTCAATCTCTTGTGGAAACGCGTGTTGCACATGGTTTTAACCCCAAAAACGTCCCAGAACGCCTCCATTCAGCCTCATACACTTTTCTCTCATCCTTGGCACAAGAAACTCCATGAAGAACTAAAATCTTTGGTGAAGTCAAGAAGGATCTCGATCGGATTTGGTGATTTCAATATCTTTTCTTTCATATAATGTGATTTTTATTGTCGAATAACTCTGGGATTTAGATTTCTTCTTTATTATTATACTTTTGATGTTTGTTTACTTTTATTAAATTGTTCATGGATTCAATTATGTTTTTTCCATTGATTGACTAAATATTGGTTGAATTTAAATTTAAGTTGAATTATTGACGTGATTTGACTGCTGCTCTATGTTTAAGGTATATTGTCGCTTCTTGAATCTCGTTTCAATAAATAAATGTGGAATATGTTGTTAGGAATTCTAAACTCTAGGATTGCAAGTGAAATTAATAAATATAGGTTTTCCTTTTTGAATTGGTAATTGAAATTGGTTCAATTCTTATTAGATTTTTCATAGAACTAGTCACGCTCTTTCTATCGTTTGATCGAAATATTTATTGAGTTTCAATTTCATGTATGTCGTTGATGGATTATGTACTTCCGTATGCTTGATGTATATGAACACTTCTTAATCTGATTTCAATAGACTAAAGTAGGAATATGTTATAGGAACCTTGATTTTAAAGTAAAATGTATGAATGATTAATGTTGATTAATCCAATCCGAGAGAGCAAATTTTGGTGCTTTACTATTTTGAATATTGATATTTAAATTCCACTTCAAATTGAAAACTCACTTCACAAAATCACGAAAACCCCAGTTTGTTTGATCCTCTAAAAAAACGTTCGTCTCCCTGTGGATACGACACCCCAAAACTGTACTACAATCATCGCGTTATGCTTTGGGCGTAATCAGGTTTCGAAAAAGAAAAATATTCTTAAGTCCTAATTCATCTCTCCTCTATGCTATACTGGTTGATGGGCATTCATCATCTGTAGGTGGACACTTTGGATATCATAAGACCTTGGCACGTATCCAACAAAGTTTCACCTGGCGGGGCTCGAGAAAATCAGTTAAGAAATTCTTGCAACAATGCAGCGTATGTCAATGCTTCAAGGCAGATTGTATGACCCATGCAGGCCAACTTCAACACTTACCCATTCCAACTAAAGTTTGACGGATTTGTCAACGGATTTTGTGGTAAGATTACCACCTTTACAAGGATACACAATGATAATGGTTGTTGTTGATTGATTTTCTGAATTTAATCACTTTGTTCCTCTAAAGTACCCATTCGCAGCCTTAACAGTACCTAAAACATTTGTCTCGCACATTGTAAAATTACATGGGTTTCCCAGTTCAATTGTTACTATAAATTTGATATTTTTCAAAATTCAACTGTTATGCTAGTGAGTTGCGTACGGCATATTCCAAAATTTAGGAGCCAAAACTCGACTTTGTAAATTTCAGTGAGCAATCTAAGATATGGACCGAATTCAATGATTAAAACTCGACATTTTTTAAAGTTCAAGGGCTAAAACTTGACACTTTAAATTTCAGTGATCAATTAAAGACATTGATTTAAATTCAATGATCAAAACTCGATATTTTTTAAAATTCAATGACCAAAATTCGATATTTTAAAGTTCAGCGGATAATAAGAGACATTGGTGACCATTGAAACTAGGGCTGGGCAAATCTCCCGAACCGAACCGAATCGATCGAACCGAACCCAATCCGATCCGAACTGAACCCCATGGTTCTTGTCAAATTAAATATCCAAACGGGTATTTGAATTTAGAACCGACGGGTACGGTTCGGTTCTCGGTTCTAGGCCAATAACCGAAGAACCGAATCTTTCGATCTTTTTTATATTGAGTAAATCAAATTATTTTAATTTTAATTTTTTCTAAACAAATTAACAATTTAACAATTTCTAAATCCAAATTTTTGGTCTAATAATTTGTTTCATTTCTAATTTTTTAATTTTTGGCCCAATGACTCATTTTATTGTTTCATTTTTTAGCCTAACAAGGTCCAATCCACTAAATAACCATAAACACCTACATTAAAATGCATAACGTTGTCTTGACTCTCGCACTCACTCTCGCAACCTCGCTAAGATTCCAAACCTACACAATCGTCGGTCGACGTTGTGACCTCCGATCGAAACTGTGACCTCCGCCGATCGAAACTTTGACCGTAGCGATCATTTGAATAAGGTAGCCTACTAATCTCTGACATTTCAAAACCATTGAATGTTTCATTAGTTGTATTTATATAATGTTGTTATAAATGTTAAAAAATTTAATTATAGTACAAACTGAACGGAATCGAACAAAACTGAACTGGACCGAACGATTCCATAATTATATTTGGACCCGACGATTCAATTTACTAGATATTCGAAAATTTTGATTCGAATCGATTCTAAAAAATCGAACCGAACCGACTTGCCTCCGCCCCAATTGAAACAATAAACTCCTATAGTGGCGATCGATCTATAACATAATGACCAAAAGGTCGCAGACGTAACGCCCGTTGATGACTACCGCGAACGTTAAAGGCTGCGAACGGATTTACCAGGCCTTAACGGAGTGCAACCGGCGAATCCCGGCTGGAATTCCGAGGGAAGCGGCTTGCCGCCACTTGAACCGCTCTCTTGCCGAATGCCTGGTGGCTGTGGCTTGCCCCGAAGAGTCCGACGCCGTTCGTACCCTCTGCTCCAGCGGTGGTACGGCTCTTAAGCGCCGCCAGTGCCATCAGGCCCAGCTCTCTCTCTCTGTTTGCCTATCCACTAACCAAGACCAGTCCTAGAAATACACTAATGCTTTTTTGTGGATCAATGGATAACCACACTCTCCTTCTCTCTGTAAGTGCTCTTTCCCGATGAATTATAACGAGCTGTATCCTGTGCTTAATTGGCTTGTAATTTGGGCGAAGATTCGGACATTCTTTGATCCATTTTGAATAAATTTCTCAGCTTTCATTATTTACTCATTATGATAAATTATGAAATACACTAAATGGTAATCCCAATTCCCAAAAGCAAAGGTGGGAAAATAAGGATTTTTATATTTTGAACATGGAAGAACATGATTTTGCTTTGATTTTAGAATGAATTAGGCATTTGAAATGGATTGAGAAAGATTTCATATTTAATTTGTTGTTTCACAAATTCAACCGTTTTGGTCTTCCAGAATTGAGTGCTATTGCCATTGGCATACAAGAAATTAGGGTCCATTTGATTGCACGAATAGATTTTGGGTGGAAAGAAAATGAAATCCAGCAAATTGAATTGTCTATAACTTTATTTATTGGGAATTGTCAGTTAAATGTGTTTAATTGGTATAATTTTTCTGAAAAATGTTAACATTTTGTATTTTTTGTTCTTCGTTTGGCATTGATTTTCATGAAAATTGTCGGAAAAATTTTGTTACAATTGTAGATAGAATTTGTTCCCTGGAACCAAACCCATAGAAATTGAAATTTCACAAAATCAAGGAAAAACGGGTCATGAGGGAGGGGGATGGAAAATCAATTGCCAAGAAAATTCTTGCAATTAAACAAAGAAAAAAGTGGAAAATGGAAAATTAATCAAATCAAACAGGCCCTTAGTGTAGATTGAATCTCCCTCACATAAAATAGCAGTGTTATATGTTGATTTAAGCCATCGTGATGCACTTTCCCTTTATGTGTGGTTAGGAGCTAAGTCCAAGTTGAATTAGCTTGAATCAAGTTGCATCTTTTGTTATACCATATAGTGTACAAGTGAGTTAATTAAATCAACGTTCCCTGAATTTTATTCTGGATTACTACGTGTTCACTGAACAAAAAAATGTTACTCATTGCTCACTCATATTCAAACGTTTACCTATCCATCACCTCTTTATAGTTGACGAAAAATTCCACTTGTGTGATGGAAAGTTGACATGGCATCTTGACAACGTTAATTTGTCTACTTGGATTAAAAACACATCCAACAGAAATGAGATTATTTATTTATTTATTTTTTTAATTTGTGAAACGCACTTCTAAACCTTAAAATTAAAAATACAAAATCACCCAAATCAAAATCCTCAACTCGACATGCTGGAACCAAATTTCATTGTTTCAACTTTGAATCGCTACAACCTAAAATGCTACAATCAAATAATGAATAAGATGTTCTGTTCCAGTAAGTATTGAAAACCTATTTCATTTTCACCCCCAAAAGCCAAGTAAGTACCCATTCCTTCGGAATTGAATGTTGTAAAACAAATGAAAACCAGACTCGTTTTTCCTTTCGTAATGTGTTTTTTTTTTTTTAAGCATATGTGTTGTGACAGTATATTGTGTCAATTCACTTGAAGACTGCTACATGGAAGAAGAATACCTCCAGGGAGCAATGTAATATAAACTCGTGATAGGATTGAGCGTTAAGCCTTCTTTGGGAGTAGATCTTGAGTTAAGACAAATCTAAGAGCTCAACAAATATTGTTTTAACCTGGTATACTTGCAATAAGTGGGTTCATCGTTGATTGAAACAATGAAATTTGATTCCAGCATTTTATGTTGGGGATTTTGATTTGGGAGATTTTATGTTTTTAATTTAGGCATTTTTTGATTTTAAGGTTCGGAAGAAGTGTGTTTCACAAATTAAACAAAATTTGTCATTTTGGTTGGGTACATCTTTAATCCAAGTGGACAAATTAACGCCGTTAAGCTGCCACATCACTTTTCCGTTGCACTTGGGAATTTTTTGTTAATTGTGGGTAACAGATTGGAAAGAAGTGATGGATGTGTAAACGTTTAAATAGATGAGTGCGTAGGGTAAATTCAGTGAGCATTCATTTAATTAACTCGTGTATAAGTTTGTGCTTGTCAAGCTACTAAGCAACCATTTGTTCCTTTTGCTGATTATCATTTCTGAGTGTCGTCGATTTTTAGTTTTTGAATATGAAATCTGAGATCAATCAACTGTTACATGGCATACATTGAACATAAATATATTTCTGTAATTTCAGGAAGTAGTGATGCAGTGCATAAACAACAATATAGCCTTTTTAGGTAGTAGTTTTCTTAGGGTAGCAACAATATACATTCATATTATTAAGGCAGCTCATTGAGACTGAAGATAATATCATATTAAGTGTAAAAAAGAAGGAAAGTCCAATTAACAGGCGTCTAGCATAACTGAGGTCTGAGATTGTCCTTTCTGCTGTAGTTTTTGCCTCCTTGATGAATCTTCATTTTTCCCCGGGATGCAGGAATGTAGTACTCTACTATTGGATTAGTCAGCATGTTGAGTTTATGAAGCACGCATAGAAGGAATCTGAAAGCATCAATGAGAAAAATCCAGATTATAAAGAGTTGATACATTTTCTTTTATGCTAATTGTAAAAGCCATTGCTGCACTTGTTCACTTGTGGTTGCTGATGTTGGCTTCAGTGCATTCTATGTAATTGTTCTCCAAAGAATATTTTATTTGGGAAGTAGATTTGTTAATGGCTAGATATGCTTAATGTAAATGAATTGTTTCAACCAGGAAAGTAATAAATTTGATCCTTTAGCATGAATAGAAGTTGTAACTGCTTTGAGTTTATGTTCTGGTGGTGCATTTCTTTTGTGTTGAGCTGTACAGTTCTTTAATACATTTGTAAACCAATCTTAATAATCACGGTAAAAGACCAACTAATGATAGTTAATTGGTAAGTAGTTTGACATGTGCCTTGTGGCAACAAAGAAAACGCTCTTTCTACTTGGTTTAAAGCCAAATTGTTTTTCAGTCATTGACGTGGTCATTTAGTATTGAAACTTGTGCTTAATTAACTAGATTGTTTGGTTTGTTTCTTTCTTAGATTAATACACGTTCGCTCATTCACCAAGGTGTAATTTACTGTTTTATCCGTTGGCTTTTAAGCACAAGTTATTGTCATTATTTTATTGAATGCTTGGCCCTTTCCACATGATCGCTTGCACACACTAAGGCTGTGATGGTCATGAATGTACCTCAAACTTGAAGTCTAAAAAGGAGAATCCGGCTATTTGGACTCCTGAAAAAAGATTGCAACGACCTGAAAACAAGAAAATGGAAATAAAGACCGAATCCTTGTAATCAAAGTGTCGCCTTAGATTCGTTTAGACGTGTCCAATTTTTATGAATGAGTGACAATAACACTTTTTAAGCTATGTTGAAGAGTATACAGACTTTTAGGCTTGCATTTCTCTTGAGCAAGAAAAAACAATGTTTAACAAATCTGTTTTTGAGTCCATAGAAAAAATATTGCTGTACTAGTTGAATAATTTCATTTGTCAAATAAGCGAGTCTACAGTATCGTTTCCCTTGCATTGTCACTGTCAAATTTAATTATTTTAAAAGTTAGCTATGCATATAGACTAACCATTAGGAAGTATCGTGGGTAAAACTTGCTTCATTTTCTGAGCTGCTGTCTTTTTATTATTTCATTATGTTACTGCTTCTTTGGCCATTTCCAGCATTACTACAGATCATTCAGCCCTTCTAGCCCTGAAATTCCATATCTTTAATGATCCTCAGAATGTCATAGGACCAAACTGGTCGAGTTCCACTCCAGTTTGCAGCTGGATTGGAAACACTTGCAGTTCCCTGCATCAAAGAGTGACATCTTTGGACGGAACCATTCCTCCACACTTTGGAAATCTATCTTTTCTTGTCTCCCTTCACATAAGTAACAACAGCTTTTCGGTCATTGTGCCCCGGGAGTTGGCTCAATTACTCAGATTGAAATCCATCGATTTTAGAAGCAACAATTTTAGTGAGGCGTCTCCATTATCTTTGAGCCCATTGTCACAGGACCACCCGTTCGGCCCTTAAGGTTACGGGACACCCCAAGGCAGCCTTTCCCACACATTTAGCTGGCAAGCCAAAATATAAAGCACCCAGCACATATAAGGATATAGGAAGTTTGTAGCAATCTTGCCATGCTACATGGGTAGGGGAGTTCTCTAGGTCCGTGACTTCATTGTCTAACCATCAGTTACTGTATCTTTCGCATAACAAATTTTCAGGTCCCACCCCATCTCCCATTGGTAATATTATGAAACTACAAGAAATATATGATTTTCAGATGCCAAAACTGACTGGAAACTGGCCAGAAAATGGTCTAAAAAGTGGCTGAAAACAGGAAGAAATCTAGACAGTTTCAAAATCAAACTTGTCGAACTGTTTTTTGCGTTTTCTGACTAAACCAAAAGGAGTTAGGAGAAACAGACACCAGTGCTGGATTGTGCAGGCAGAGGCACAGCTGGTGGAGTGGCGCGTGGTCATCGACCTTGACACATTGGGGACACCGACAAGGCGCGTGGATTATAATTCGGCAATGACGTCAGTAGGCAGAATGTTGTCGGCGATGTGACAGACTCTGCAATATTGTTGGATTTCAGTTCCAAGCAATACAGTGAAAGTTGGAAGATTTTGCCCTTGAATGTTCGGGTACTGTTTTGTATTGCCGTGATTGTTGGAAGTTTTAGAGCGAATAGTTACGGTCCTAAAGTGGTGATTTGCATCTCTTGATATTTACAGACCTTTAGATGTGGTCCGCTCGGTAGTGTTTTCTTTGCTTTTCATTATTGTAGTTAAAACTATTGTGTAGAGTAATTATTTATTTTTTCCATCAAAAGTCATCGTGTGGGATAACATTAGGATTAGGGTTACCGTGAAGGGGGTAACCATTTCCTAGTGCTAGACCTAGGAATTACTTGTTAATTATCTGCCTAAATCCTTCGTGAATTTGTTGCCAATCTTTTCTACATTGTTAGAATTGCATGTGAATTTAGGATAGTTTTTTTAAGCATTCAATGTGAATTATGTCTATACTTTGCTTGTGGTCATTTTTGGTATTGATGACATGTGTAGGTCTAAGGCAAGTGCAAAAAGTAAGATGTGTTTTAACTATGGTAAAATTTTGGACATAGTGAAATAAATTATCCTAGGAATGATAATAAAAGGAAAGATAAGGAGAGATGTGAGACGAATGTTGCCACTAGGTCGAGTTATGACCCTAATGAAGTTTATTGAGAGTAAACATGTTTACTACATGTGCATCTGTGTATAATTACTTAATTCTATAGCGTTGATATGCTACACATTCAATTTTTCTGATGTGTGTTACAGCATGAATTAGAGTAATTAATGTGTTTTGTATGTATAGTGGGTTGAGATCTGTGGCATACTTTTTTTGCACAATGAGCGACGTGAGAGAATGTGATAGTGAGAAGAAATAACGGTAGTCGTTTTCTACTTTATCCTTGTGAACCTGTGTGGTTTGTGAGATTATGTGAGGTAGCCATATATGTGTTATCTTCTTCCTCTTTATGAGCCTCTTTTGTGAGTGTAGTGAAATAACCAACTTTTTTTCTTTTCTTCTTGTGAGTGACACTTTCACCATTTTCTTTGTTGATTTTTTGAGTATTGGTGATTGGAATAACCTTTTGGTGCGTGGGTCAATTTAAATTGAGCCATAACCTTTGTGGTCGCCAAAGGTATTGATTTGTCATAGTGGGTTTGTGATGCAATGAGTGTGGGGATGTCTATTGGTAAGGTGGATTATAGATGCTTAAAGATACATTGGTGATATGCACAGGGATGTGGAGTGTGACATTAGGATCACGAGTGGAGAGGTGATTAAATGTTGAAATCATTCACCTGTTAAGAGACCCTGTACAGGTGGAATGTGAAAAAGGCTTTTTCTATTACTTTTGTTAGGTGGAGACCCATTATCCGCATAAGGTGGAAGAAGTGAGTGGCGATAGAGGATTATCATGAGAACTTATTATCTATTATGATTTACCAGATAGACATGAGTTCAGTGATCAGCCTAGTGAGCATGGGTGATGAGAGGAGAGGTGTTCTCGAGGTATGAGCAACATGGAATGGGATATGATAAATATGGTGGGATCTTTTCGTGGGTCATTTATGCATTTTTTTGCATGTGTGTTGGCTGTTTGTTCATTAACTTGGTGTTCATCTCTGGTTTTGTGTGAACGTGTTATTTGAGAAGATCTGTATTATCCTATATTATATCTTCATTGCATGATTATTTGCTCTTGAACGTTTACAGTGAATATTTGCTTCTGCTTGGGTGTTAATTGACCTTAGTCCTGGTGAATACATTGAGCAGGTATGTAATGTGTTTTGTGTCAGAAACACGAGGTAATGTCTGTGATACCAATTTTATTTGTTACTTTGATTATGCAAGTATAAACTGTGTTTGCTTGTAGATTGATTCAGTATCAAGGAAGAGATTTGTTGGGTTTTGATACCAAATAAATCTAGAGGATGATTTAAAACAGTTGACGAATAATTTATTGACACCATAAACTTGATTCGACTCGAATACGACCGACACTTTTGGAAGGCCCAAGTTGGAGTTGGATTGGTGGTTTGATAGTATGTGGTTTTGAATTATTTTTGGTTCATTAACTTAGCCCGTTTACCTTGGTATATTTTAGGCCTATTTAAATGAATAAGTTAAGCACAATTATTTGTGACCTAATATCCATTTATATATCCATCCTCCTGCAGCTGGTTTGGTGGTGGTGTGTGTGAGAGAGTTACAACAGAGGAGAAAAATGAGAGAGAGGCAGCCATGTCTTGATGAGGTGATTTAGCGATATTCAACTACTAGTCCCTTTCATTTCTTCCTCATTTTTTAATGTTTGTAATCTTTTGTGGTTAGAAGAAGACAACTGCGTGAGGCAGGAAACTTGAGGCCACCAAAGTGTTGGTTTGGTTTGGGTTGAGCTTTGATTTGTGTGGTGTTCGTTTGGTTGTTTTCTAAACTTGGAATCAAGACTTCTTAAGGGATTTTCGCGACATCAGTCACCATACTTAGAATTGACTTTCCTTACTATGACAAAGTGTCGTCATTTGAACAAATTGGTGATTGTTGAGAATTGCCTGAGTGGAAAACTCCCAGCCTCTATTGGTAATTTCTCCACCTCTCTTGAAATATTTGCTGCATATAGGTGTAGAATCCAAGGAAAAACTCCGAAAGAGATTGGTAAATGAATTAGTCTTGCAACTTTAAGTCTATCTGACAATGAGTTGACATGAATCTTTCCGACTAGTGTCAAAGGTTTGCACTGTTCAGCAATTGTATCTACACAACGACAAGATAATAGGATCTATTGTAGATGAAATATACAGTTTGAAGAACATTGGTGCATTAGATTTGAGCCAAAACCAAATCTCTGGTTCCTTGCTAGCATGGCTAGGAAATATTACTTCTCTAAGAAATCTTTACATCACTCACAACAGATTAAATTCTACTATACCCACTAGTCTGTGGAGCCTTAATAATATATTGAAGCTCAATGCATCCTCAAACATGTTAGTTGGCCATTTACCTGCTGAGATTGGGAGTTTAAAGACAATGACTCTGATAGACCCATTAATGAATAACTTATCGGGCAGCATTCCCAACACCATTGGAGGACTACAGAAGTTTATTGAACTTTATCTGGCACATAATAGATTTGAAGGGCCTATTATAAATTCATTTGGCCAAGTTCTGAGCTTGGAAAACATAGATGTTTCCTATAACA